CCTCTGTTACCCAAGCTGGAGTGCAATGGCACGATCTCGGCTCATTGCAACCTCTGCTTCCCGGTTCAAACAATTCTCCTGCCTCAACCTCCTGAGTAGCTGGGAATACAGGCACGACCACCATGCGCAGCTAATTTTTGTATTTTTAGGAAAGACAGGGTTTTTCCATGTTGATCAGACTGGACTAGAACTCCTGACATCATGATACGCCCGCCTTGGCCTCCCAAAGTGCTGGGATTACAGGCGTGAGCTACATGTCCGGCCCTCAGGCCTTCTTTATTAGGGCATTAATCCCATTCATGAGGGCTCCAGGCTCAGGACCTCATCACTCCCCAAAAGCCCCCTCTCCTAATCCTACCTCCTTGGGTTTAGAATTTCAACACAAAAATTTGAGGGGGGACAAACATTTAGACCACAGCAGATGGGCTAAATAGCTTTCTAATATGCTATCCTGAAAACATACCCATAATGCATGACATGGCTGCTCTGGAAAAGTGCATTCTGAAATCTTCACATCTCACTGCAAGCACACTTGGGGAACATCTTCTCCTTGTGAGCTGGGGACCGCCTGCATGACTCGGCCCATTAGTGTGTTTCTGAGGTGGGCAGGGGAAAGTCCAGGACCTGACTCCAAGAGCCTGGCATGACTCCGTCAGTGGGCACCTGGAACGGGCATACTCACTGAAAGGCCCTGGTGCCTCCCTCCACAGCTCGCAGTCTGGGATGTCAGGCTCCTGGTGGGCGCTTGGAAAGGGTCTGTGAATAAACATCTGTGAATGCTGCTTGGGCCAGTCCAATTGTCCTACCTACCAATCAGGAAACCAAAAGCCCCACGGCAGAGCTCTGGCCCATCAGACAGAAAAGCCGTTTTCTTCAACTCGTCTTCATTGAGGTGATCTAGTGTGCTGTGGACGTCCAAACCAGGAGATATTTGTGGATGAAAAGCCCCAGGGAGCAGGTGCTCTGGGTTATGTTTTCAATCCTGCCACAGGTTGAGCTATGCATTCTTACCCCACAGAGGCTGGGCAGAGTGATTTCACAGAGACCCCGCTGCTCCAGTTTGTGTATGCTCATTGCCCAAATTATTTTACACAGCACTTAATGAGTGGTCAGATGCAGTGTCCCTTATTCAAATTTGGTTTACACATTTGATGATTATGTGTTTGGGGACTTACACACACAAAAAAATCTCTCTTCTTCTTTTCTGACAGGGTTGGAGCATGCAGCAAAAATACAATGAAGAGTTAAGTTTTAATGGAAAATTCTGCAAAATTGCAAAATGTCATCATTGCCATATGGGAGGAGGTGAGGATACTGCACCCTTAGAGGCAGAAGTTCACGAATGTGCACACCCCAGAAGGTGAATTAATAGTTCTACCAAAGTCTTCTGGGGTCCCTCACCCTAACACATAAATATGCAGAGTCTTGAATGAACAATTAGGAAATGGTGGCCCCTTTAATTTAACGAATTTCTTTAGAAGAATGGGACCACAGATTCTTTATGAAAGCCATAAAAGGGAAGAAGAAACAGAAAATTACTTGAGACCCATTAGAAAAATAAAAATCTTTCCTGGGGGGTGGAGGCATGCATGTCAGTAATCCCTTGAACAGCAGGATTGAAGGTTGAGAGTCTGGTGTCCCAAACCACTTACAACACAGACAAGACCGGCTTCTAAATGTCCAGGGAGCAAGCAGCAACACCCAACTAGAACATCACCTACTCTCAACTACTGATGTCTGACCCAGGGATGTCCCTCTCACTCACTTTAGTTAAAGCTGGAGAGTAGCTAGGACTGAAATATGACATCATCTGAGGTATGAGGTGCACCTGAGGCACAATCCCAGCTCCTTTCCAAATATGCACAACGCTGGTCATATAAAGCCATCTCCTCTCTGCGCATTCCTGAGTCAGCCATGAGGTGAGCTGTGATTTCCTAATGGCGTCCTGAACCAAAATGCAGGAAGACACCCAGGACACCATCTAGACTTGCTGGGCCCACAGAGATGACTTAAAACCCAGCTCAGCATGAAATAATGTGAGCTGCGCACTCCACTCACAACCTGTGTGTCAGAGGTGGGCGGCATTTCATCCCCAGGGCCTGGGGCAAGGCCCACTCCCTAAGCCCTCAGTTATGAGCAGGTTCTGTGCTAGCATGAAGACACACAGTCAACAGCCTCATTTGGGCTCTTGAGCCTTTGGAGGACAAGTCAGCTGCCTCCCAACCCTCCCTTGCCTCCTGGATTGCTGCTTCTCTCTGGGCCAGAAATCGAATACTCTCCCAGCAAGATCACACAGGCACATCCATGGAAGAAGCTGAGACGAAACACAACTCTCATAAACAGGAACTTTATTAAACTACATGTTACATAAAAGAACATATAAATGGACCATTAAATACATTCAGTTTATCTTAAACAAATTTACATAGAAACTTATTTACATTTCTCCAATGTATTCTTAAATTAATTTTCCAAGCTTACTACCGATAAAAGGTAATAGAATGATCATCTGCTCACACAGATGCATACAGAATGTCCACAGGGCTAAGAAAGGCACCACTTCCCAGGAAATGCAGCTTATTAGATCTTCCAGCAACAACTCATGCTGAAGGTGCTTTCTTCTGAGCAGCCCTTGAAGTGAGGCCATTGCTTGAGAGATGCCAGGGGTGGGTTCTGAGAAGCTGATCTGGGGCAGAGATGGGTCTTTGGTGATTGACCTGACTTGGACGCATAGAGTTGGAAGGACCCGTGGAGACCATCATCGAGGCCATGGCCCCATATCTGTGAACTGGCAAACAGGCTTGGGAAGAGGTGGTGACTTGCCAAAGTCACCCAGCATCCATGATAGACAAAGGGCCTGGAAGCTCGGAACACAGGGTCCCTCCCAGAGGTCCCAACCTCTCTGCTATCCACAAATCCACAAACTTAGGATCATGTTCATCCATTCCCCACCACCATGAACCTTATGCTTTAAACTTTTTTGTCTACCTGATTAAATATGTAACTTCTTAGGCTTTATGAGATGGTGAAAAGCTGCTCAGGATTCCCATAAGCATTTTTGCGGAGCCCCGGAAATACCTACTTGGGGCCATTTCTACAAGAGGTTTTGTGGTCAGGTGCTTTACTATTTCAGGCATAATATTTACCTTTAAAACTCAGCTGACTTGTGGAAGCTCAGCATTTCCAATTAATTTAGATGAAAGGCAACACTCTGCAGAAGGGAGGCTCTAACGTCAACCACGCGTTACAGCATGGGACTGCCCACAAACGCATCATATTTGCCTAGATCCATGTACCTACCAACGTCAGATCTAAAATGGGGTTTCACTAATAAGTGACCCAAAATTTTTTTTAAAAAAAGTTTCTTTAAAAAAAAAGTTCCAAGAATTTTCCCATTTCCCAGCTAGTCTCAGAGAAGTCATGAAATGGGCATTGGGTAGAAAAAGTACATGTTTTAAACACTTTCTTTTGAATAAAGCTTGATTCCCAACCCCCCTCAAATTTTTCCTGATGATATACTTTCTTCTGAAAGCAATTCCATGCTTTTGGTCTGCTTGAAAACTGATTTGGTTCTTCTCAGGATTTAAAAACCACTCTACCAACAAAGAGATGTCAATGTTAAAAACTATTATTAAGAGACAGAGACAAGCAGAGAGAGAAACTCTCTGGGCCATGTTAGAGAAGAAGGAAGTGCTGTGAGCACACGAAGAGAGAAGCAAGGCTGGGAGACAGAATGGTTTGCAGCTCCCTGTAACCAGAGTGAACACAGGTCACAGCAGCCTTCACTCAGTTTTATAACAGACACACAGATGGAGGAACGCGGGACTGGAAAGACACACACTGTCAAACAGCCCTGATGCCTTTCCACTAAAATATGGCACTTCAAGATTCCAGAGAAATCCAGCATTCTACCAGGGGCTGCCACCCATCTGCAGGGAAGCCTGCCCTGCAGCCATGAGGCCCCCGAGGTTCACACCCCACTGCTCACAATGCACGCCCTGAATACATGGGCGCATCTGATTTCTGTCCAAGTCCAACTTTCCCTCCTGCTCCTGTAAAGACCCATACCCAGAGTCATGCACGGAGAAATGGGCAAGCCAGACAGTCTTCAGGGAGACAGAGGCCATTACAGGATACCCAAGACTTGTGGGGAAGTCCAGTTGCCTGCAATGGACAATGTGTGGGCAGCTGGAACTCTGAGGCCAGGGAACACAGGAAGATACAAATATCTTCATTATTGAGGATATACTGGCCAGGTGTGGTGTGGCTCACACCTATAATCCCAGCACTTTGGGAGGTTGAAGTGGGAGCATCACTTGAGCTCTGGAGTTCGAGATCAGCCTGAGCAACACAGTGAGATCCCATCTCTACAAAAGATAAATTTAAAAAAACAATTAGTCAGGCATGGTGATGCATGCCTGTAGTCCCAGCTCCTAGGGAGGCTGAGGTGGGAGGGTCACTTGAGCCTGGGAGGTTAAGGCTGCAGTGAGCTATGATTACGCCACTGCACTCCAGCCCTGGAGACAGAGTAAGACCCTGTCTCAAAAAGAAAAAAAAAATTCCTGGAAGGCATTTCACTCTGCAAAAGGAACCCAAACTAAAACATTTCATTGTCATTTTGTTTTCTTTTGAGACAGGGTCTCACTCTATCACCCAGGCTGGAGTACGGTGGTAGGGTCCCGGGTTCAAGCGATCTTCCCATCTCAGCCTTCGGAGTGACTGGGGCCACCAACATGTGCCACCACACTCAGCTAATTAATGTATTTCTGATAGAGACGGGGTTTTACCATGTTTCCTAGGCTGGTCTCGAACTCCTAGGCTCAAGCTATCCAACCCTCTTGGCCTCCCAAAGTGTTGAGATTACTCGCGTGAGCCACTGCACCTAGCTAATTTTTATATTAAAAAGTAAGTCTTAGATATATAAAAACTGGCCAGAAAAAATCTTTGTTACCTTGTTTCATAAGAATGTCACCTTACACTCCTATTAAGTCTTTCTCGAGATCCAGGCTTTGGGGGAGGGTAGGGTGCACAGGGGAGGTGTGGCCGTCACAGTCAGGAACGTCTGTCCATCTGGACACCAGACTGCAGCGGGGCTCAGCACAGCAGGCTGCAATCCACAGGCCTCCTGGACTAACCATCCCGATAGCATCACTAGCAGTGGCACCAGTGGCTGCTTTATCTGTAACAAAGACATGCTGCCTCTTTCCCCGTCCTCATCCCAGAAGTCAGTCCGCACCGTCTGAATCCCAGGAGGCGGGAGAGGACAGACACCCATCACTTCCGTAACGGATTGAGGATTCTCCCCAGTGTGGTCCGACTGGAGTCCTTCTGACGGAGGGAAGCCCTTTCCCCAGCCCCTCTGGCCTTCAGAAGGGCCTCTGTGTTGGCACTGGGACTCTCAGTAGACTCTGGACCCTTCTTGGAGACCCGGGCACTGCTGGCTCTCTTCAAAGTACTGCTGTCCTTGGGAGCGGCATCCTCGGGGTCCCCTTTCACCCTCAGCTGCCGCTGCGACACTGTCCTAGTGATGCTGGGGACTTTGGACATGGGAGGGAGATCCGTTCTCAAGCTTCGAGAGGATGAGGCCACCGTGTTCCGGGCAAAGCTTGGGACGCGGGGTAGTTCATGGGGGATGCTGGGCACCAGAGGGGTCTTGGGCTCCTCTTTGGGACTCTCAGGGCCCTGGGAGTGGGTGTGGCAGGTTTTATTTTCCTCGGGCTTCTGTCTGGCAAGGTTCCTGAGTGGTTTGGCGCTGGGCTTCCTGAGAGAGCCCCTAGGCTGCAGGGGGGTGTCCCTCCCTGGACGGGTGCTGCTGGAGCTGCTGCTCCCCCGTGGCAGCCTCTGCTCCTCCGCACTGGTGGAGGCCCTCCGCACGGAGTTCCGGCGTGACCACACAGTATCTGTGCTGCTGGGGGGATTCTGGGAGGGCCCCCGGGATGGGAGCTCGGGTCGCTTCCAGCCGGCACCTCTGCTGGATCTGCTGATGGGCATGACCTTGCGCATGCTCTCACTCTCCGAGGCCGTCAGGGTCCGCACGGGCTTGGGCACTGGCCCCTGGCTCCGCCGGGCACTCCCAGGCTTGGAGGCCCCAGGAGATGCCTCTTTGAGGGAACCTCTCTTTGGTGCTATAACATCCTTCCTTTTGGTGGGTCTGTCCCTGGGCAGGTCACCCTTGCAGCTGGGCTCACTATCCACAGAGACAGGGGCAGGAGCCTCCCTAGGGGGGCTGGATGCAGGGTTGGAGGAGACTTGGCTGTCCCCCAGTTCTCCAACCCCAGAGGACATGGAGCCATCCCCTTCCCCGCCTTCCTCCGGGTCCCCACCTCTGGGTCTGGAGTCGGTTCCCTCTGAGCAGTCCAGGGTCAGTGAGCAGTCGGTGGTGTCCGACATGTAGAACAGAGGCCCGGGATCTTTGTTCTCAGGGTCGCTGCTACCCACAGATCCCAAAGCCACACTTCCAGGCTCAACAGGGGCAGCCTTGCCGTCCTCCAGGGCGGGGCTGAGACTCCCCAGGGCATTTCCGTCCATGGGTGTCAGGCTGCTGCTGCCGGCACTGGGGGAGTGTGGGACCCCATCCTCCACAGACTCCAGCTTCATTGGGCTAAAGTCACTCAGGGTCAGCTGGGACATCCCCTCCATGCCTTGAGAACCCTGGAGGTTGAACTGGGCCAGCCCTGTCACCAGCTCATGTTCCTTAATCCCCAGAGCCAATGGTGAGAGAGGAGGGGACCGTGCTGAGCCCAGGCTCACCGGCTCACTGTTCCTCTTTCGGAGGATGCTGACACCGTGGCGCCGAGCCCTGGGGAAGGCAGAGGCAGGGTCCTCAGGTCGGGCAGCTGGAAGCTGGTGTTCCTGTGCTGAGGGTGGGTTGGGGGCCCCCTCCTGGCCCCTCAAAGCCTGAGGTTTGTGTGCAAAGCTGGAGTCCCCATGCCTTGCCTCTGCAGGTTCCAGGCAGGCTATCGTGGGCCGGGCCTGCCGGGGGCTGCTCCGGGGCAGGCTGTGGAACTTGTTGGGCTCCTCAGGAATGCCGGTAGAGCTCTCCAAGAAGGTCAGCAGCTCCCGGTCAGCAGAGAGACCCAGGGAGAGGCGGGAGCGGCGGGTGTTAGGGGGCCGGTAGGAGGGGCTGGAGGGACTGATGGGACTGGGGTGCAGGAAAGGGGGCAGGCCCTCCACACCCTTCTCAGCCAGCAGCTCCACATCATTCTCACTGCTGCTCCGGCCAAATGCACCCAGCTCCCCAGCTGCCCAGGAGCGCTGCTTCTGCTCCTGCTCCTTAAGCCGCTGCAGCTGCCTCAGCTCCTGTGCCTCCCGGTCATGGTTGTCCTGAGGGAAGGAGAAAAGCCGTAAGATGCAAGAGACAGTGGGACCAATGTGCAGTTCCAGAGGCACCTACCCTAAGAGCCAAAGAAAGATACAGGCATGGAGGGGAGCTCTGGGTCACGCCCCACGCTGAGAAATAGACTGTGTTTGTGTGTGTGTGTGTGTGTGTGTGTGTGCACGCGCAGAGGGAGGATGAGGCTCTCTAAAGCTACTGGGGATCTGACCAGGGCAGGGGACACAGTAGGACTGGCCCCAACAATCTATCTGCAGTTTTTATCTGATTCTTGGGCCCAGCTTCTAGCTTTCCAGCCAAGGCACTATATGCTCAGTGGAGGCTGCCATTCCACATATGCAAGTGACCTCAGCTCCCAGAAAGCTGACTCTGAGCAGTACAAGACAGAGGACTTCCAGGAAAGTGCTACACAAGCCACAACAGACAGACAAATGCTGTGGCTGTTTAAAGAGTGAGCCTCAAATTGTACTTCTGTGGAGCGTGGATGTGCGCTACAGATTCATGTGTAGCACATTCTACTTGACAATGATTTGGATGTATTCATGTACAGCCATGACATTAAGAGATGCTGCTCAACTCTGTTCCCTGACAGCTCCTGGTAAAGCAGCACCACACACAGCATGGTGGCTCTGCCAGCTGCAGCCTGCAGCACACAGCCCTGCCCCTCACGCCCTTGCCTGTTCCCACAATCAAAGAAGAGGAAGAGGAGCAGGTGTGCTTTACAAATCCTTCAACCCTTCACCTTGCTCCAGAGTACCCAGCCCTTCCCATCGAAACTGCACCAGAACAAGCACACATACCAAAGTACACTCTACCACCTGGCTGTGCACTTCAAATAGGTTTGTGTCATGTAAATATGCGGATCCCACAGCCCAAAAGTGTTATCGTTAGCAGTTTTACTTGACAATCAAATTCCTCCAATGATGGCCTTTCCCTTCCAAGTTTCTGTGAGGCTCTAGCTGGGGACTCCTGGCTCCTCCGGCAGCTCTGACCTCAGCCTCTTCCCTCGTCCCCAAGTCTCTCGGGCCTTCTTTCAAGGTTGCCTGCGGTGGGGGTGGGGCCGGTGCCTGGCTCTCAGGACAGCCGGGTGAGAGCATCACACAGGTGGCCTCACAGGCCTGTGGAATTCCTGGGAGTGAGGGCCTCATTAAGAGCCAACTTGGCCTTGACACCCGTCACTGCCTCCCACAGCTGAGCTCACTTCTTGGCCAGAGGAGCGCAGACGTGGCCACAGGCTGAGCCTCCTTCTCTTCGCTGGATAGAGAAAGGAGGGGTTGAGAACACAAAGCAGTTCTGGGCTTGCAAGAAATCTGACCAATCCCTCAAAGCAATTCGGCTATGGACAAAGCTGCATTCCAGCTGGAAGCGGGGGATGATTCCCGAGCCTTTGCTTCCTCACCACCACCCGAAATGAAGGGATGTGAGTGGCCAGTTTGCTTTTAATGGACGGATTAAAGTTTTACGTGTAAAGCCAAGCAACCCAGAGAGTTTTCTGGCTTCTACATTAAACCCAGAGATGACTGGAATTGGTGGCTGAAGGGCAAGAAATGTAGCTGTTGTGCTCAGCACGGCAACAGGCTTTGTGGTTATCCAGGAATCTTGAAGACCGCTCTGGGGAGGACAACGCGGTTGCCCTGGTGCCGATCCCACAGTGATGGTGGTCGGCTTGGAAGAGGCAAAAGGGGAGACCGTTCCATCATCCCACCACCACAGAAGGCTCCCTGAAAGAGGACATTCTCTTCTGGGAGAGGGTGAGAAAGACATTCAGGATCTTCAAGACTTTTAAATGGTATGACTGCCATCAGGGAGGAACTTTACTAACAAAATGTTCTCAAGGCATTACTGTGAGTGTCAGGCAGCCTGAGGGCCAAAGTAGCAGAGGCAGTCAAATGCCCGCCGATCTATGCAAGCCCTCAGGGCTGCGATGGCAGAGCCACTTCCAGCACTCCAGCCGAGAGCCTGGCAACGCCACCTGGGCCAGACGTTCCTGAAACCGTGGAGATGCCAACTGCCTTTCTGCGGTGAGCAGAGGACTAGGTCCAGAAAAAGGAAAATAAAAATCCAAGCAACCCCAAGACACAGATGCTGCCAGCCATACCTTAACTGCATTGTTGAATTTGGTACAGAAGTCTCTAAATATCTGAAAGCATTCATCCAGCTTCATGGTTTTCTTGTCTTCACAGAAAAAGTCTATAAGGGTGTGGGCCTCGTCCTGGAGCTCTTGTTTCCAGCATTCCAGTTCCCTCAGCTTTTCCACGGCAAACTGCGGAAAAACAAACGAACACACACTGAAGTAAACATGGTCGGCTGATGCGGCGCCAGGCACTGCATCCAGGGCCCAGGAAGACACCTGTGGGGCTTCATTTCAGGTCTTGGAAAAGGAAAGCTTATTGCAAGGCCAGCGCACTCGGAGCCAAAAGGAAAATAATTCAACCCACACCAAACCTCGGGGAAAGCAAGGTGAACTCCTGTGTGAGACCCAGACTAAGCAACAAGATAGATTTAAGAGCCTTAACCTGCAGATCGTCACTAACAAAATGTTCACGTTTAATGTCACTGAAAAAAATTACACAGGTAACTCCTTGAGACCAGCCTGGGCAACACGGTGAAACCCCATCTCTACTAAAACACCAAAAATTAGCTGGGCATGGTGGCGGATGTCTATAATCCCAGCTACTTGGGAGGCTGAGGTGGGAGAGTCACTAGAACCCGGGAGGCAGAGGTTGCAGTGAGCCAAGATTGCGCCACTGCACTCTAGCCTGGGCAAAGGAGAGAGACTCCATCTCCAAAAAATAAAAAATAAAAATTGAGTCTTACACTGGCCAAGAGTTTACTTAAGGGTCCCTGAAGCTACTCGCTTCAGGGATGCATTATCGATTTTGCCCAATTGAGAGGGTGTTTAAACTTAATCCCCACTGAGCTCTGTGAGGGTCAGGGTCACCCCCACAGGACCAAAGCCCTTGTACCTAAACTGGGGGTGCTGATCCAAGTCAGCTGGGAAGCCTGGCAACAGGCCTTGCCTGCATCTGTCCCGTTCAATTTCACAGGTTTGGGGTGGACTCAATACTGTATTTTATGAAAGCACCACCTCAGGAGATTCTGATGGGCCCTGATGGCTAGGCATTACTGTCCTTTACAAATCCATCCTCTTCACTTCATCATTTTCTCCTAATTCTTCTAAGACAAGTAAGTCTCTGAGGCGCCTATTCTGGTACTGTCTCAACACAGTGATGGGAAGGAAGGAAGCCTATTTTCCTCCAATGAGTCCCAAGCCCTTCAGCATGGAATTTGCCATGTCCAAGGTATGACTGATGGCAGTTCAGTGACATCATAGGGAGTTGCATGAGGAAGCAGTATGGTGCAGGGAAGAAGGGCTCTACAGCAGCCACAGCCCACGCAGAAACAACATTTAGAATCACACTGAAGTCTTATGTTGAGATATAAAGCTCCATTACCCAGGCTGGAGTACAGTGGTGTGATCGTGGCTCACTGCAGCCTCGATCTCCTGGACTCAAGCAATCCTCCCACCTGGCCCCCTAAGTAGCTGGGACTATAGCTATACACCACCACACCCAGCGAATATTTAAATTTTTTTGTAGAGACAGGGTTTCCCTATGTTTCCCAGGCAGGCCTCAAGCCATCCTCCCACCTTTGCCTCTCTTAAGTGCTGGGATTACAGAGGTAAGCCATTGCGCCCAGCCTGTGTTGCTTCCTTGTTTACTGGGAAATAATGGTTATATAAAGAAGGAATGCATGAAGTGTGTTACTTTATGAAATCACCCGTTATCAAGTTTTTAAAAAAGGTCATATTTGGGAGCTTTTTTTGAGTGAAGCTGGGGTGGGCTGGGAAAAAAGCAAAAGCTGTCCACTCGAGGAGGGAGCTGCTGTTTGAACCTGCTTGGAGAGCTACAGAACCTACAGAGAAATTCTGTGAAGATGCCACCTCCTACCCACCCCAACCCACTTTCCCCCTTCAAAGCCCTTCTCTTAAACCAAACACACTCAAGAGGTAGTAGGAAACCAAAACTATGTAGGAAACCAAATACCAGAGAAAGCAACCATCTGAGTCAGTAGCCCAAGGCAGTGTGTGCATTCGTGCTGTATTTTTCTTTATGGAGGAATGGTATTAATGAAAGGATAAATCTTTGCCTGTCATTCTTGCATGGGGGGAAAGATGGATTCCAGCCAAGAACAGCTCAACTGCAGAAAAATAGGCCTCCTAACAAGAATCTACATGGGAGCTCAGCTCCACCTCGTATGTTTCATCTCTAGGTCCTGTGGGGATTGACAGGGTACCAGGAAGGAAAAACTTATAAACACACTGAAGTCTCCCTTTGGACTTGGGAAAATGCAACATTCTGAATGTGGATCTGAACAGTAACCATACTTGGAGTTATCTGTCATGAGTTCTACATGATTAGCGCCAGAAATAGAGAAGTTCAAAGCTACACTGGCAAAGCAAGAATGACAACAGGTTAGCAGCTGTACTGTCAAATTCAACTTTACATCTCTAACTTGCCTGCTACAAACCGAAGTTTCAAACAAATTTACTCAGTATCTCTTGCCCCAAGGGTGAAAATGCCAAACTAGATCTGCAAAAATGTGTTCCTGTGCTTTTTCTGCTCCGAATCCTTGAAGAGTTCCCCACTTCTTATAGCATAGAGTCTGAGTCCAGCATTCAGACTGGTGTTCAGAGACTCGTGTGGCCTGACTCTGACCTACCTTGAAGAATTTTATCTCACCTATTCAAAAGAAAGTTGCATTTAAGACAGAAAAATACATAGCTATGTGAAATGTTTTACTTATAGAGATAAAACTGACGCCCAGAGAGAAGTATAAAGGGTTAAAACAAGATGGACTGTGAAAAGCAGTCTAGAGGTAAGGCTAAGTCAAAGTTGTTCTTCATCCTAGGCATCTCCGTATGAATATTGAGTATGAGATGGTAATAGTTAATAAGAGAACCTAGAAGAATAAAACATCCAGAATTTTAATCTTGATGTGCGACGGTCTTTATTCCTGAATTTCTGGATTTAATGTATTTGTTTACTGTTTTAGTATTTTTGTGGTGGTGGTGTTTGCTTTGTTGCTGCACTTTGATAAAAATCTGTGCCCTTCAACAAGAAAATTAATTTGGTTTTACTTGAAAGAAAATATAGGGCACATGTTTAATAATAAAAATAAACTCACAGCAGAGCCAAACAAAATCAAGCATCTGCTAAAGGTCATAATATTCTGAAGTAGCTGAATTAAGAGGCGAAGGTTTCAGTTGGCATAACCTCGGGAGTGCGCCGTTCCTCCCCAATGCCAAGGGCAGCCCTGCCACACAATTCCACCGCACAGGTCTCAAAGCACTAACAGCACTTCAGGTAGCACAGCTTTTCACTGAAGACTAAAAGCATGAGATGGTGCCATTTTTTTTTTTTTAATAAGGAAGATAAAAGAAGTATGTCAGACTTTATGATTAGTGAGTCACAATGAGCTGTCACAAACATGTCCACTCCGCTGTTTTTTGTTGATGTTATTTGGAGCAGCTCCCGACACACCCTGTGGGCCCTATGTACTCCTGGTGTTGACGGGCATACCTCTCGTGTGTTCTGCTGTTCTCATTATAAAACATACCAAAGCGCAGCTTGTTTCTTCAGCGTAAACAAGTGAGGAAATGACAGCCCAAGTTCTAAGGCATCTTGATTTCTGTGGAACTTCCTTCTGTTATCCAAAAGTTTTACTGGTTTAGAAACAAAACTTGAGTTGCCAGGCAGAGCCCAAGTGCAGCTCTATTGCTAATACCAGTTCATCACAGTGAAGTGCAATCGTGCAAACTGAGCAGTGAGTAACAGGAGCCTCGCAGAAGCACTGTCACTAAACAAATACATCAGGCTTAGGCTGGGCGCAGTGGCTCACACCTGTAATCCCAGCACTTTGGGAGGCCCAGTGGGGGTGGATCACCTTAGTCAAGAGTTTGTGACCAGCCTGGCCAACATGACAAAACCCTGTCTCTACTAAAAAAGTACAAAAATTAGCCAGGTGTGGTGGTGCACACCTGTAATCCCAGCTACTCAGGAGGTTGAGGCAGGAGAATCGCTTGAACCCGGGAGGCGGAGGCTGCAATGAGCCGAGATTGCACCATTATATTCCAGCCTGGGCAACAGAGCAAGATTCCGTCTTAAAACAAAACAAAACAAACAAACAAAAACAAACACATCAGGCTTAGATCACATTTAACATCCTCTGCAAAGAATGGGCATGGAAATACCAAGTTCCTTTTACTAACTTGGAGAAAAAAATATGAATGGGAACTGCTGCTTCCACAAATATAGCCATGCAAATTTAACCAGCCCAAGGGTGCTGCTGGGAGATGAGATTAGAGGGACTGACTTGAGTCACCTACAAACCTGAAGAAAATCTTCCATCTGCTGACAAAGTTCACCATCCCGCTGAATGTTTTCTTTTAGTGATCTCGTCCTGACAAACAGCAAGTGCAGTTCTGCCTCTGTGTTATCTAGAGATAATCTAAAAGAAGAAAGGGGAGAGTGGGCAGTTGGAACAAGGAAGCCATGTGTCATGTGGGTATATTAAATAAGACTGTCGCTCAACCTTGGAAACGGAAGGGGAGAGCTACTGTGCTGACCTTTACCTACCTCTGTATTTAGATCTTGTGCATTTCTCCTGTTTTAAGAGGTGACTCCTTTCTAAAGACATACACTGGTTCAAAGAGAACATGCTGCAACTGTGCTCTTGATGGCGAGATAACCAAAACCAAGAGACCTGTATACCTTTTCATAAACTAGCTCCAATGAGCATTACAAACTAAAAGCCAGCAGGATTCCAGGATTCATACGCTTTCCATGGGCCACTAAACACAAATATGAAACTAACTCACAAGAAGCAAGGCAATGTATGTTGATAGCCCTAATACTAAAGGTAACAGCGAGAGAATAGCAGATTCCATGTTCTTCACCACAGGTGGCAAGAGCAAGCTTTCTGTTTTACAGAGAACTAAAACGCAGTTAACAAATCTGCAACTTTGTTTTTTTTTTGAGACAAAGTCTCTCTGTGTCGCCCAGGCTGGATTGCAGTGGCCTGATCTTGGCTCCCTGCAACCTCTGCCTCCTGGATTCAAGCAATTCTCGTGCCTTAGCCTCCAGAGTAGCTGGGATTATAGGCATGTGCCATCATGCCCAGCTAATTTTTGTCTTTTTAGTAGAGATGAGGTTTCACCATGTTGGTCAGGCTGGTCTAAAACTCCTGAGCTCAAGTGATCTGCTCACCTCAGCCTCCCAAAGGGCTAGGATTACAGGGGTGAGCCACCAGGCCCAGCCATTTTTTTTTTTAAAGATACAGTCTTACTCTGTTGCCCAAATTAAAGTGCAGTGGCAAGATCATGGCTCACTGCAGCATTGACCTCCTAGGCTCAGGCGATCCTCTCACCTCAGCCTTCCGAGTAATTGGGACCATGGGTGTGCACCATCACACCCAACTAATTTTTAAATGTTTTGTAGAGACGGGTCTTACCTTGTTGCCACTGGTCTCAAACTACTGGGCTCAAGCAATCTTCCTGCGTTGGCCTCCCAAAGTGCCGGGATCACAGGCATGAGCCACCACACCCAGCCCTAATTCTGCAAATTAACAGTTGGATTGATTGCAATGCTTTTGTTATATACATCAAATCAAGATAGGCAGAATGTGGGCCGGTTGAGGTGGCTCAGGCCAGTATTCCCAGCACTTTGGGAGGGCGAGGCGGGCAGATCACCTAAGGTCAGGAGTTTGAGACCAGCGTGGCCAACATGGTGAAGCCTCGTCTCTACTAAAAATAAAAAAATTGGCTGAGCACGGTGGCTCATGCCTATAATCCAGCACTTTGGGAGGCCAAGGTGGGTGGATCATGAGATCAGGAGTTCAAAACCAGCCTGGCCAAAATGGTGAAACCCTGTCCCTACTAAAAATATAAAAATTAGCTGGGCGTGGTGGTGGGCACCTGCAATCCCAGCTACTTGGGAGGCTAAGGCAGGAGAATAGCTTGAACCTGGGAGGTGGAGGTTACAGTGAGCAGAGAGTGTGCCACTGCGTTCGAGCCTGGGTAACAGAGTGAGACTCCATCTCAAAAAAAAAAGAACAAACAAAAAAATTAGCCTGCCATGGTAGTGAGTGACTGTAGTCTCAGCTACTTGGGAGGCTGAGGCAGGAGAATCACTTGAACCTGGGAGGCAGAGGTTATCATGAGGCAAGATTGTACCACTGCACTCCAGCCTGGGTGACACAGCGAGGTTCTGTCTCAAAAAAAAAAAAAAAAAAAGATAGGCAGAATGTGAATGATGGTTTTGTTTCACTGAGTAGGTGAAACCTAAAATGCATGTGAAACTCATAAATTAGGATGCATTCATGCTCCCACTGTCAATTCGAATTTTTCTTTGTGCAGTAAGTTTTCCACCTTCACTGGTAACTGGCACGTATCTGAGATCTGTTTGTACTTCACAAGTGTATTTCATCTTCCATTTCAAATAAACAAACTTGCTGAATAGAGTTTTTCTAAGTCAGTATCTATCTCCAATCCAACTCTGACCAGAAATGCCATTTCAAAAATATAATGCTAATTTCTATCTACATATCTCTTAGGAACATTTTTAAACTAATCAGAGTAAAAATGTTCCCATACAAATTTCTTTCAGTAATTCAAAACCAGAAAAGTTCCTATCTTATAAGATGTCCATTCTTTTTGGAGAATAATCTAGAGATCTGTAAACATAAATTATGAACTGTTTACACCTTTGAACTGATAATCCCACTTTGGAAAAGGCATGTCATCTTGGCATGATGTTCACAGAATCAGTAACTTTGAGATACTAGACAGTGGCAGAGCTGTGAGCTATGGTTCACTTATTTATATGCATATGTTCACAGATGTCATAGCTGGAAAGAGTCACTCAAATAGTAAGTCTATGCTGGGAAATAGGTTGACACATGAAGCGGTGTGCTGAACCTGCTCATGAGAACCAACTGCGGATGTCTATTCCTAATTTGCATTCAGTAGTGCATGTCAGCAGCTTGCCAACAGTCATGGTGGCAGTATTTACAACATGGAAATCAGCAAATGCTACAAATCAGGACTTTTTCTCCAAGAGCTGGTTATTGAACATCTGTCGTGGGATGCGAGGATGTAATATAAATTTAAAAACACATATACAAAACTCAAAATAGCATATACACACAGAGTCTAGCTATATTAAGATACATATCTATATTAGGATCAGAAGCAAATTAGAGTGATGTAAATAGAGCCTTATGTTTGGCAGATACTTTCTCTGTATGTGCCTTTCTCTGTGAGTGACTAATATAAAGTAAAATAGTTTCACAGCTCTTGGTACAGTTCAAACCCCTTTGAATGCAAAGGAAAATAAATGTACCATATTAAGACTCTACAAGGAAACAGTGACATGTGATTGTGAAAGTCTGATTGATATATACCAACTCCCAAGGTAATAGGCGGTGTTGTTTAAGCTCTACCTCTTGGGTGTGGAGGGATTTAAAATTCTTAATCATATTTTTTGTACTGATGATATTCATTAGAATATACTGAAATAGTTTCTTTAGTTCAAAAACAAAGATTAATTTTTCAAAACCCCCAAATTCCAAAGGTGCCCACACATCTGTGCTAAGCAAATGAAGGACAGTCTGAAAGTTCAATGAAACAAAACTTTTTAGAGTTCAAACTGGAATATAAAAGTTTTTACCATTTATCAGTTTTCATTAAAAAGGTAAAGAATCTTGAATTCTCACAATTCACTTGCTCACCTAGCAGTCTTCTGAACGTTATGCAATTTTTCTGAAAAGTCTAGAAGAATGGCATCTTTCTTCTGGGCTTCCTGGAACAAAAACAGAATTTTCTCACTATATTGATAAAACTGGAAGGAAATAATTTTCTTAGGGCTTAAAGGAATCTCAAAATCACTGCTTCCGTTTTTAAACTTGATACATTCAAAGCATTTCATACTGAGACATGAACTCTGATGCTCATAGATTTGCCAGAACTCTCCTACTCTCAAGATATATTTAACTTTCCAGAGCAACTGATCTTGACAGAAAATACAATTCATGTGCATTAAAACTCAATGGAAGGTGGCGGTGGCTGCAGCTTAGCAGGGCCCCTTGTTTCTGAGAGAATCCAATATATCCTGCTTAAACACCACCCATACCTATAAGCATGCCTTTAAATGACCGAGATACCTTCAGCTGTTAAACCAGTTTGCAAACAGAGTTTAATCAGAAGGTACACAAGCCATGGCAGTGTTTGGATTCTTCACCTGTTCAGAAGGTGAAAGGAAGGCAGGTGGGAAGGAGGCAATGACTGACTCAGGAGGCTTCCCAACTTGGGCAGAGACCATGTTACCCAGAGCGCCGGGATGCTTGGATCCGAGAGAACTCTGCCCAAATACTATCTGCAACCTATGCTGGGCAAGGAACACATTTTCTTCTTTTAAGGCCTGAAAATTAACCTTTCAATCAAGTCCCAAGTTAAACATGACCCTTTGTCTTCTGAAGAATATAGTAATCGTGGTGCATATCATCATTTATGGAGAGCTCACCACAGGCCAAACATTGAGCTAATATGGAATCGGCTCTTTCAGCACTCTCAATTACCTAGTTTTGGGGTGAGTTATCACTACTCTCACCATTCGATGAAGAAATTGAGGGTCTTCAGGTTTAAGTACCTTGCCTGAGGAAGTACAGCTAGCAGAGGACAGCTGAAACCTCCCAGTCCTGTACCATTCTGAAGCTCACATTGAAAACAAGACTGCACCACACGGTTCCCTCCCAGTTTAAAGCTACCACTGCGGCACTCATGTCAAAACAACTGACTGATTCAGCGGAGGAAGGGCAAATCAGTTCAATTAGTTGAGACAATTTCAAAACAAAGAGATAACGGTCCTTGGTTGATTTTCCACTTTGTACCTAGCTCTTTTGGTGTTACAGAGACCCAGTAAAAAAAAAAAAGCAATGGATAGGGTCAGACTCCAAACCCTGTGCTAGCAGCAGAGCACTGAAATGCATCCTTCACAAACAAAGACAGAAGTGACCTTTCTACATATAACTGGTCACAAATCTAGTCAATTCCACATCAGAAATATTTCAATCCTCCATCCTCTATTCTCTGTCCCTATGGCCATTACCCTCCCTCAACGCTCACCAGACAATTAGAGCCAACTTCTGCTGAGGTGTATTCCTATTTCTAGTTCTTTCTCTACTCTAACCCAGCCTCCATAGTGCCTTATTTGCCTAAAAACAGAAACAAAAAAGCTGTAATCAAGCTCTTACACTGTGCACAAACTTCTGTTGGTTCTCCACTGCTAAAGCATGAAATCCAAATTCTCCGCCTTTGACACCTGAATCCTTCATAGCTGGCTTTACCCGCCTCTCTGCTTCACTCTCCCACTTCCCTTCAGCCCTACAGCCCTAGGAGCAGTACAACTGAAGAATTTGCAAACAGCGCTTCTATAAACAGAACCTTCTTGGAACTCGCCATGCCCTTTCCTAACCCTGTCTGACACCATCTTGTGCCTGGGAAAAACTTCACTGCCTCCGAGGGGTATTCATATGCATTCTCTAAGTCCTAATCATTCCCACATACCTGTGCAACAAAGTGCAGGAGATTCATCCCAGGTTTGTTTGCTTTTGTGTCTGCCAATTTCAGCAAAGAAGACAGTTTAAATCCTACTGCATTGCCAGCATACCCTCCCTAAGGAAGACAAATCAGAAAGAAAAAATTACACATATGTGAAATATATGTATAATTATGTATATATATACACATACACACACACACAGAGAGACACCTTTAAATAGGCAAATAAGATTGAAAACATAACATTAAAATTGTTTTAGATTATTACTTACTGCATTCATAATATTCCCAGCCTGGAGCACCAAGTGTAATATAGAATGTAGCTCTTCACATGACATCAGTTCTACCAAAAAGAACACATCACAGAACCTTAGAGAAGCGTTCAGCCTCAAATGCACAAAAGACAGCTACCACATCCAAGCTCAAGTGTGTCTGAAGCAAGCTGTGACCTTAAACTGTCTATAAAACTGAAAAAACAAAAAAGCAATATATTCTATAGTATGCCTAACACATCATTTGCTACCTGCAATCCATGTCATAGTGTTTACTTGGAAATCAAATAGGTATGACAGCTGAATAGCACACAATCGTTCGATAATAAAAATTTTCAATTAGTGAAAAATGCAAAAGCCTAATGCAAAGCAGTATCCCGTGACATAGGAGTTAATTTTCTTCTCAGCAGTTATTTAATTTTTCCTTGTACAGCCACTATTCTTTGAGACTGCATTTGTAGAATATGAAAACCAACAGCAAGCAACATTTTGCTTAGTCAATGAGTTATGAAGAGATAAAAAAATAAACAAGCTAGGATAACATGTAAATAACTTGCAAAGTACAAACCCCAGGGGCCCAGGCACCCAGGGAATCTTTTCATTTTATTCAAAGCTACACATTTCATTTGGATTGGCTGAAAGTTTTAGAAAGAAACTTATCATTGTAATACATGGGTAAACTAGTTCTTTACTAACACCAAATCCTTTGTACACCCATGCAAAGAAACAAAAGTTAAAATTTTTAATGCATTTAGAAAGGTAAAAAGAAAACTTGATTATTAAAATTATACTATCGATAAATAATAAAATGTCACTGACATTTTTAAGTTAATATTCTCCATTAAGTCGCTAATACTTTCAAAAAAATTACGGTTGGATCACTGCCTATATTGTGTTATCTAAGAAGGCCAGTTTTGGAAGGGTGGCCAGATAAGAAATGTTTCTACCGTACCCACGAGTTTGCATTGCTCAATATAAAAACATATTCTTCCAGAACAAACCTTCCAAAGTTGTTGCAATAGTGTTAGTAAGTTAGTAAGAAAAACAATTTTAAAGGCCTCTATATTGGAATTTTTTAAAATTCTTTTTCCTTCTTAGTCTCGTCTCTTTAAAACGAAGAAAATATGATGGGCCAAAGAGAAACATTTTATCTCAAAACAGGCCAGAGCAAGTAAACAGGAAAACCAAATAGGAATAAACAATTCTACAACAATTACTAGAAATCCAGAAAATGAAGAAAAGGAAATCAGGCTGGCACTGACCAATGCTGAAAAGTGTGAGCGTCAGGGAGGGCCAGACAGTGCGCCCGGGAGATGAGAAGAAAGCAGCTGCCGGCACTCTCAGTGCCAAGATGCCAGAAACCAAAGCTATCACCTCTACGGAAGGGGACGCTAGGGCAGCTCTGAGAAGAGGCTGTCCACGCTGGGCAGGCAATAATTTTCTTTCCTTTTCTTTTTTTTTTTTTTTTTTTAATTGCATTTTAGGTTTTGGGGTACATGTGAAGAACATGCAACATTGTTGCATAGGTACACACATGGCAGTGTGATTTGCTGCCTTCCTCCCCTTCACCTATATCTGGCATTTCTTCCCATGCTATCTCTCCCCAACTCCCCACCCCCAGCTGTCCCTCCCTTATTTCCCCCCAACAAACCCCAGTGTGTGATGCTCCCCTCCCTGTGTCCATGTGTTCTCATTGTTCAACACCCGCCTATGAGTGAGAACATGTGGTGTTTGATTTTCTGGGCAGGCAATAATTTAAATAATGGTTTAAATAAATGAAGATGGCCTATCTGCCCCTCTCAAATTTAAACAGCACAGCAGAAGTTGGAGTATGGAGGAGTGGGAGATGACACCACAGAACAGAAACGTCAGGAACCCTGGCAGAAGAGTCGCACAGTTGACCTTGGGAAAGCAGGTCTGCTTCTGGAAAGGCTGGGTCCCAGCCACCAACAGAGGCCACAACAGGGAGCAGAAAGGCAGCTGGGCCAGGGGCCTGGGCTCTGTGCACATGCACAGCCCACCCCACACATGCACACACCACGTACCCACACACAGAGAGAAAGCTCATCCAGGAGAGGAACAAGGGCAAGCCATAACCAGCAAGGTTGACTCTGAAGCCTGGGATGAAAGAAACTCCCATCTGTGGGAGGGTAATATGCAAATTAACATTCATTACAGGAAGAATGTCAATGGAAATAAACCTTAAGTGCATCCCTAGAAACATCTCATTTCCCTTTTAAGGGTGTATCAGAAATTCATGACTTTCATGTTCAATTTCATTTGGCTTTTTAAAAAAACTGCTATGGAAATTAAAGACAAATTCTGCGAAGGATCACATGTCTTACCTTTTATAGCAGTTCTTAAAACTGTTATATCTGTGTACAGAGAAGAACAAGTAGGTAGAAATTCCTTCTTTAGCACCATGGCTTCAATCCGAAGTGAATAGCTGAAAAATAAAAAAGTAAAACTGTAGAATTTGATGTCATTAGTCTAAAAATCTTACTGTGCAAAGACTAATGATCAGTGACTGTATCCTTACTTTGGCACCTGAATTAAGCCGTACAGAAAGGAGTCTGCCAGAGACAGCCTGGACACGTCACCACTAAACGCTTTTAATTTCTTTACCTAAAAGACAAATGGAAAGCGGGGTAGATAAAATCACTTATGATTATTTAAGATTATTTAAATTTCACCTTTGCATTCTTCTTAAAAAATAGGATTTTAGTGCTAAATTCAAATTAATTTAGAAAAGACAGAAAATGAAATCATCCCATCTGCTATTTGTTGTTTTTTTTTTTTTTTTTTAAAAGAAAAATACAAACTCACAAATTTAAAGGTGAGGAGTTAGGGTCACTTACGTAGCTATAGATATATTGTCCCGTGCAAACAGGAGAGCTGGAGCCACTAGAATCCTGAGGAAGGTTACAAGAGGGAGTGACTAAAAAAGGATCAGTTCTAAGAATGAAAATGTTCTGTAAGCAATAATCTGGAAATGAGATCATTGTTTGGGAGAAGAAATAAAAGACTACAGAGTCATTAAAATATGGTCCTTTAAGTCATAAACAGAAAAAAAAAAAATCTTATTTTGAGTAATTTGGATACAAAATACTTAGACTGAGTAAGATCAAACACAGATTTTCTTACTGTGGTCAAATCCCACTTCACATATAATAGCTTTAAAGGAAGAGACTACTGTATCTTCAGGTGAGTACACATATCTGCTTTTCAGCAGGAAGACAAAAAGGAAAACTGCTTGAAGAACAGGAAGATATGTTAAAATTGCCCCCAGGGACCCTGGTAGAAGAGTTGTACTGGATGCCTGGAAACGAGGTCAACTTTTGGAAAAGCAGGGTTCCGGCCTAAAAAGACCAGGCAATAAAATAGTATGTACAGCAGGATGCCATTTCTATAAATTTTTTAAAAAGGTATCTATTAACCTCCAACCCTCTCATGTACACACCTACATACACAGGAAAAAGATGAAAAAGCCCCACATCTCCAGGTAGTGACTCATGCCTGAAATCTTAGCTCTTTGAGAGGCAGAGGCAGAAGGATCACTTGAGGCCTGGGTTCGAGACCTGCCTGGGCAACACAGGGAAACCTCTCCCCCAAAAAGCCCCACATATACTAGGTGATAAGATTACGGCTGTCTGCTGTTTTCTCCTGTTGCTCATTTTTATTTTCTAAGATGCCTATAATGAACATGATTACTCTTTTTTGTTTATTTGTTTATTTTTTGAGACATAGTCTTGCTCTGTCACCCAGGATGGAGTACAGTGGCAAAATCTCGGCTCACTGCAACCTCCACCTCCCAGGTTCAAGCAATTCCCCTACCTCAGCCTCCTGAGTAGCTGGGATTACAGGCATGTGCCACCACGCCCGGCTAATTTTTGTATTTTTAGTAGAGACAGGGTTTCACCTTGAAGGTCAGCCTGGTCTTGAACTCCTGACCTTGTAATCCGCCTGCCTCAGCCTCCCAAATTGCTGGGATTACAAGCATGAGCCTCCACGCCTAGCCCAATTATTCTTTAAAAAGTAAACTAAACTAAGTTTTTAAACACAATCAATGATTCTTTCAACCAATACAGAAAAAAGTGAAGAGTTCTTACAACAGGTATATAGCCAAATAGCAAGAAGGTAAGAGTGGAGATGAAAGGAAAGTTTTCAAACAATATTAGATCATAAATCATGTCTTCCCCCCACACAGAACACTGGGCCAATCCCATGGCAAAACCACTTCTAAGTCCACTGTTAATAGAGAGTCATCCAACAAAATTCTTTATAAGTAGTAAGTACCTTAATACTGTTAGTGAAGCGTACACCCTGTCTTTGCAGTTAATTGTTGCCAATAAGTAGCTAACACTTTGTATTATTCTATTTTATAAAGCTTATTCTTTTCCATCCCCTTGGTTATAATTAATAACATGATTTTAAGTTCCTTGTGAAATAGGAAATGACAATTCAAAAATATAAAGAAAGGAGTATTTTCAAAGATCCACAAACTGAAACATCTACCTCAATTATCTGAAAATATAAAATGTAACACTTCCAGTTCACATCCTAGTATTAAGTCTGACTCTTAAGACTATCTTCTTTCTGCCCTAAAAGGCAGAAAATAGCCATTTACATAATTCCATTTCCCTTACTGGTAGAGCCACAAAGTGAATTGACCATTTTTAGCCTTATTAAATTTAAGGGCACATGGCACTGCTGGTTTAAGCCCAAATCAGTCCCTGGCTTCTGCACTGAGAAACCTATACGACGAATTCTAATCCCTTCAGAACTAGAATTTAACAATTCACTATATATGGGCAGGGGCAGAGGGAGGTTGTATAAGACCATATACATAGCATGTGTGAAGCCTCTGAAAATCACATCATGGTTTTCAGTCTAAAGTGTAAGACCAGGTCATGCTAAGTAAACTTGGTAAACGTTTCTATTAAACATGTGCTAAACTGTAACTTAGCAATGATTAATCTCCTTCACTTACATAAAAAGCTAAAAAAAAAAGTGTGGATTTCAAGAGAAGGGTGATAGACCGTATTTGATTTAAACGCCATGTATACAGTTCTTTGTTCTATTTCAAAATGAGATTTATGTTCTTTAAGAGAGATTATTGTATCTTCACAGTGGAAGGAAAGTAAAAAAGAAAGATAAACATACCCTACAATTATTATGCATTCTCATTATCAAAAAAAGGTTTATTAAATATTGTTAGGCATAATTTTGTGGGCTGAGCCAAGAGACCCTCATTATGGCCCTGGTTGTGCCTGGTTGCTGTTGTAATAGTGACAGCAGGCTCCTCAAGACTCTCACACTCCAAAGGACATGCCTCCTTCACCCTGTTTAATTCTAGTCACATGGCTTGAAATGGTAAGATTTCCCACAAACATACCCACCCAACAGAAGACCCACGGGCTTCCTGTCCTTCCCCTCCCAGCGGCAGAATCAATGAAGAAGGAGGTAAAGAGATACCACAAATGTCCAGCAGAGGCAACTCAGCTGCTTCAGGAGAAAAGAAAGTTTCTGCCATGTCTAGCGCCAGCCCACAACAGAGGAAAGGCTGGTCAGGTGAGGTGGGGGGGTTCCCTGGCTTGGGAACTTGGTGCTGGAGAGGAACACACTCCCAGAGTTTCATTTCTGGACCCACCTTCTTCCTCTGCAAGTGTGAACCACACATTAGAGGAAAGATGAACAAACAAGCCAGATAAAAGATTTGTGGTGGAGGGCAGAGAAATTCTCAACAACAAATTAACCTTGGCTTCGGTTGGCTTGTCAGCTGAGAAGGCAGGAGAGAAAGGGGCTGTTTCCGTTTGTATTTTTCAGCATGCTGATAAGATTACAGTATTATTCAAGTGACACTTATTCACAGGAGTACTTTGTGATAGCAGAGGTGATGAAAAGGCTGGCAGGCCAGCAGTGTGAGGCGGGGTTTTGAAAACCTTTGCCCTTCCTTCCTCCAAGGCAGGCAGTGGAGTGCAGCAGAAAGAACCACACTGGGCTCAGCGGAATCAAGGCTCAAGTCCACCCCACTGCTCTGTCACCCAGCAATCATGTGACACCAGACAAGGTATAACAAGCCTGTGTGAGCCTCAGTTTCTCATCTGTAAAATGACATTGCAGTAAGGATTACATGAAAAATACACAAAAGATTCATAGCTATGATTGATTGATTTTCTATGTGCCAGGCACTAGGCTAAGCGCTTTCAAAACATGATCTCATCTCACTTCATTCTGCCCTGTCCAGCCAGTGCCTGGTACATGGGGCCACTCAATAAAGGTTTAGTCCTTACTTGTGCTAAAAATGAGCACAGAACGTTACACACAGGCTGAGTGCCACGTGGTTACGTGTCCGCTTACGAATTTATTAGCATATTTCTGCCACATTCCTAAACCCCTCTTCTCTGGCCCTGACTCTTCCTCGGCCTCATCTGCATCCTCCAACCTCCAACCTGAGACCCAAAGATTCCAGGGTTGGCCCTGGGTCTGAATAGTGCCAGGGGCCACAAAAAAGTTTGTCCTTGCAGTGGGCAGCAGTTAGGGGTGGCTTCCAAGACCCCCTCCCACAGCACTTCCTTTCCCTGAGACCCCCTCCCACAGCACAGTTACCCCACAGTGTTTAGAAAGGGGCTCCTGGCAGCCCTGGGGACTGTCAGGGTGTTCCTGCTGAAGGAAGCTCCCAGTTGAGTTTGGAGGGTGTGGTGAGCTGAAGCCCAGAGTCAGTAATGTAAACAAAGAGGCAAAGTGTGACCAAGCTCGCCAGATATTCAGACTGAGGATGACCCCGCAGCAGGAGGTTGTGGGAGAAACAGCTGCTGCCTGGTTCAGTGGCTGGGAAGGCATTTCAGGATCCCAGGCCAATGCTTCCATCTCAGCGAGACCCCACCTCCTGGGTTAGCTAACTAGGGGCGAGAAAGTCTCCGGGACTCAGGGCAGTGCCTGGATGGGTTTTCATCATCTTGCCCTCAACAGTCTTCGTTTTGAATTATATCCCCCACACAACCCAGAAATACAAAGTTCTTTTAAATAGGACAGGTTTGACAGCTTAGTTGCTTCTGTGAAAAACCCCTTTGCATTTTCTAATCACCTTTGAATTTTAAATGAGAAATGACGACATTAAGAAAACTGTATTCAGTTTCCCATCTCACCACTGCATGAAGCTGAGCTGGCAGCCTCCCTTGTGCCTAACTTTCATTTCGTTAGCAATGTGGAGCTTTTCAGAGCACTTTCACATGCGCTGTCAAATCTGATCCTCACTTAACAACACGATGAGGTCAGTTAGGAGTGGGTAGCAGAGAGGTCCTAGAGGAGGTCTGAAAACAGCCCAAGCAGGAATAAGGTTTTAAGAGCAAGTGAATCGTTTTAAAACTCAAATTAACTAAAAACTAACTAACCTAACAAGATTTTGGAACTCCCATTCTTTACAGAAAAGATTAAGGACTGTTCAGTATGTACAATCCAGGGTAAATTATGATTTAACGTACCTTTCCTTTGAGATTTTAAGACTCTACTATTATTAACATTAATAACTGCTACTAATTAATCTTGGCTTGGGTTAATTACACTTAATGTGCAGACAGAAAACCTGAGGGAGAGTGAGTTCCCAGGTTAATAGGTACACCTAGATGTAATTAGATCTCTAGTTACTCACTAAGATCCTAAATTTGGCATTGTGAGTTCAACATTAGTCAATGTAAAAGGAAAAAATATAATTATATCTCTCTTGTTATTAATGACACTAAAGTAAAGCTACATAAATTATGTCTGGGATGAAGAGTGGGAAAGAGGAGGCAGAAGTCAGAAGTGCCTGTGAAAAGGGTAACATACTAAAAAGTCACCCTTACTTTTTACTTTTAAAAGTTGGCCGGGTGCACGCCTGTAATCCTAGCATTTTGGGAGGCTGAGGCGGGTGGATCACTTGAGGTCAGGAGTTCAAGACCAGCCTGGACAACATGGTGAAACCTTATCTCTAACAAAAGTTATGGGGGTGTGGCAACGTGCACCTGCAATCCCAGCCTACTTGGGAAGCTAAGGCAGCAGAATCGCTTGGACCCAGGAGGTGGAGGTTGCAGTGAGATCATGCACTCCAGGCTGGGCGACAGAGCAAGTCTGTCTTGAAAAAAAAAGTCATCTATTACTTTTACTTATAATGTAAAAAACTTGGTAAGAGTCTAGTATTTAGGTATTTTATAAATATGTATTTGTGTAATTTCTTACTGAAAATTTTCAAGGAATTTTTTCCTTAGAAATAAAGGACAAAATCACAATTTTGGAAGGTTTTATACAACTGTTTTTCCGTTTTTTTGTTTGTTTGTTTTTTCTATCAAGCTCCTAACCATTCAACAATGCATTTAGAATGGGAGGGGTGACTGGGGAGGCGAGCTCAGTGATGACATGGCACTCACGTGACCAGGAGTCGACGTGTGCAGAAGTCCTTACAGTCCCAGGGCCTGTTTCCTGTAGCAGCTCCCTATTGCTGGAGAAGAAGAAAAGTGCCCAAGATCCTTTCAGGATATTTGGTTTTTTGGGCGCGACACAAATCGAGGTGAGGGAAGAGAGGAAAATCCCCTGAATCCCTGCAGGATTACTTTATTCAAAAACGAAATAAAAAATACTCAATATGCAAAAGTCTTGTGAAGAAAATGACATGCCAAAGGCCAAGGAAGACCGCCCTTTGGAAGATGTACCACAGGAGGCAGAAGGAAATCCTCAACCTTCTTCAGGTGTGAGCCAGGAAGCAGAAGGAAACCCCAGAGGAGGGCGAACTCAGCCTGGCCAGGGATTTAAAGAGGACACACCCGTTAGGCATTTGGACCCTGAAGAAATGATAAAAGGAGTAGATGAGCTTGAAAGGCTTAGGCAAGAGGTAAGAAGAGTGAGAAACAAGTTTGTGATGATGCATTGGAAGCAAAGACATTCACGCAGCCATCCTTATCCTGTGTGCTTTAGGCCTTGAATTCATTTTTGCCTAATACTAAAATCTGGCCCCAGCTTTCTTTCTGTTAGCATTTTTTGAAATATCTTTGACCTCCATCTTACTTTTAATCATCTGATGAAACTCTGTTTTAGGTAGTTTCCTTAGTTCCAGCATCACATTGGATTTTGGATTTTGACCCACTTTCCAGGTCTATTTTTCAAATTAGAAACTTTCACACATTTGCATGGAAATATGTTCATTCCATATTGTAAAGCAAAGCATAACAGGTTATGGCAAAGCAGCATATTTAATATCAGCTCACATATGTAGGATAAAATTCCAAACTTTGTGTGTGTGTGTGTATGTGTGTGTGTATGCATACATCCATATAACATATATCAAAAACTTAACCTTAAGTTTATTTCTGTGTGGTGTGAAGTTTTATTGGCTTTCTTCTAGTTTTTCTTTTTGCTTATACGTATTTTTTAATGAACCTGTGTCTTGCACAAAAAGAATTAAGGATTTTTTTTTTACAAGTAAGAGTCAATCAGATAATTTGCAACGAGCTTATGAGCACAATGGGGGTACCTAAACTCTTGATGATAAAAGAAATGTAAACCTCACATTACCTCTGGATCTCTTAGCCAGAGGAATAAACTGGCAATTATTACAGAAAAAAAAAAATGCAGTTAATTCATTAAGTCCAAACAAAATAAATAAATTTATATCATCGTAGTATGTATTACTATCACAACAATTTCCACCTTTGAGTTAATTATGTAGATAAGATTTTATTAACAGTTCACCTACCTCTCCAAAATTTTAGAGCATCTTTAGATGACAGAAAAGGAATCTTTTTTTTTTTTTGATGATGATGATAATTTATTGAGCTCCCATGTGCCAAGTACCATGTTAGATGCATAACCAGGGTTTCATCATCTTGACAATCCAATGAGTTCAGCATCATTATCCTCCTTTTATCGGTGAGGAAACTAAAGCTCACAGGAGTTAAGAACCTTGCCCCATTTTCTCAATTAAGGGAACAGCTCAAATCTGAATCTAGATTCTCTGACTCCATAATATCCATGCTCTTTCTACCAGATCACTTTACTTTTACGTGAGAAAACTCTGGCTCTGGGTAGGAGAGTGCCCTTCCCACGTGCATTTTGTTTTTGTTTTTGTTTTTGTTTTGAGACAGAGTCTCACTCTTTCAACCCAGGCTGGAGTGCAGTGGCGTGATCTTGGTTCACTGCAACCTCCACCTCCCAGGTTCAGGCAACTGTCATACCCTAGCCTCCTGAGTAGCTGGGATTACTGGCGCATGCCACCACTCCCGGCTAATTTTTGTATTTTTGGTAGAGACAGGGTTTCGTCATGTTGGCCAGGCTGGTCTCAAACTCCTGGCCTCAGGTGATTCATCGGCCTCTGCCTCCCAAAGTGCTAGGATTACAGGCGAGAGCCAGCGCTCCCAGCCTTTCATGTGAGCTTTGACACACTTAAAAATATTAAGCTTTTATGATCACTCCTAACATCTACAACTCATGCACTGAATTTCTTACCTCTTCTGACTCTGGCAAAAACTTAAGAAATTCTCGCAAGGTCTCTGATCCATAATGCTCACTTTTTCCTTGATGAATATCTTCTACAACGGACCGAGGAGACCTTAAAAAGACAATGAATAACATTCCATTTCACGTTTGCTAGCGTGCCAACAGAGGTGCAAGCCAGTGGAAATTAAAACAAATCTCCTCCACCCTCCTTCCCACCCACCTCCTTCCCAGTCTGGACGGCAGTTTTGTGTGAGTGCTCATAACAGCCCCACTGCCTGGAAACGGGAAACTTCAATACTCTGCTCAAGGTCCCTTCACCCAGAGCACCATCCTTGGGTATCCCCAAAAGGCTGAAAGCAGCAACAATCACAGGGAGTCTCTTTTGTGGGGAAAAAAATAATCCCCTTTGGTCTCACTAAAACTCCTGCACAACCTTCTCCTTACACTTCAGAACACAGAACTCCAACTGCTACTTGACTCATCAGTTCAACCTCCACTGAAGGGGGGACACTAAAGGTGACTCTATAGAGTCCCTATGGGACAGGCTTGAATGCATGCCCTGGTGCAATTCTCCATCTACTTCAAGCCACTATGTTATGTTTCCATGAAGGAAAACAGCAGAAAGTGACAGTCACTTGCAGACTCATCAAGCCATGTGTCTAAGAAGATTTGAAGGTGTGAGGAATGACTTTCACTCATATTAGAATTTGAATTTCAGCTCAGTCACACCCACAGACTTTGATACTGACAGCAGGGACTAAAGTTTCAAATGTGTGCAAAATCTTACCTCTTAAATTGCTTAAGAAATATCCCAATGTTCATGCTTCGTTTTGCATCCAAAACAGTAATCTGGAAAAAAAAATAAGAACACATAGGATTACTAAATTCAAATAAAAAGAGTTGGAGAAAGAAGATAATTAAAACCTATCAAATGCAATACTAATTTATAAAAGAATAATCCCCAATGTATAAATTTGGTAATTAACAGATATTCCTAACATAGTTTTACAAATATTAAAAGATTATCATCTCCCCAAACTTTCTACAGTGATATTATATTTTCTTTTTTTTTTTTTGAGACAGAGTTTCACTCTTGTTACCCAGGCTGGAGTGCAATGGCGTGATCTCGGCTCACCGCAACCTCCGCCTCCTGGGCTCAGGCAATTCTCCTGCCTCAACCTCTTGAGTAGCTGGGATTACAGGCACACGCCACCATGCCCAGCTAATGTTTTGTATTTTTAGTAGAGACAGGGTTTCACCTTGTTGACCAGGATGGTCTCCATCTCTTGACCTCGTGATCCACCCGCCTCGGCCTCCCAAAGTGCTGGGATTACAGGCTTGAGCCACCGCGCCCGGCTATATTTTCTTAAATGTAATAACACATGCCTATTTTAATATTATATAACTTTTAATATACAGATGGTCCCAACCAATGATGGTCCATCCTATGATTTTCCAAGTTTACTATGGGCTTCTTGGGATATTAAATGCATTTTCTTTCTTTTTCTTTCAGACAGAGTCTTGCTCTGTTGCCCAGGCTAGAGTGCAGTGGCACCATCTGAGCTCACTGCAACCTCTGCCCACTGGGTTCAAGCAATTATCCTGCCTCAGCCTCCAGAGAGTAGCTGGATTACAGGTGTGCACCACCCACCCGGCTAATTGTTTAATTTGTTGTAGAGCCGGAGCTTCACCATGTTGTCCAGGCTGGTCTCAAACTACTGACCTCAAGTGATCCACCCACCTCAGCCTCTCAAAGTGCTGAGATTACAGGCATGAGTCACTATGCCTGGCTACATTTTCAACTTACAGTATTTTTGTCTTACAATGGGTTTTTATGATGCAGCCCCATCATAAATTGAGAAGCATCTGTAAAAGTCAGTCATCCTTTAGTATCCACAGAGGATTAGTTCCAGGACCCCTGGGGATACCAAAATCTGAGGATGTTCAAGTCTTGTATAAAACTGCATAGTACTTTGCATATAATCTATGCACAACATCCTGCAAACTTTAAATCATCTCTCGATTACTTCTAATACCTAATTTCATGTAAATTGTGTTATATAAATGATTGCTATACTATATTTTTAAAGGCGTATTATTTTTTATTGTTGTATTGTTATTTTCTATTTTTTTCTGAATATTTTTGATCCATGGTTGGTCAAATTTGAGGATGCAAAATCTGCAGTCATGAAGAAAGGTCTGTATAATATATACACTTTAAATGTTTTTAATTTAGCAATTTCCTCTTAGAATAATATCATTTGCACTTAAAAGCCCCAATTTGGAAATGGATGCTTTGGCCTAATGAGAATCACGTGAGATTTGAACTGAGAAGTAAAAAACAACTCTGAAGATATTGCAAATTGAGTCCCAACCCTGACTTATGGATGTAAAAGAACCCATGAAGTCATTTTCAGAAACATCAATAAATTAATTTTTTTCTAAAAGAAAAATTTCATTTCATTCAAAAAGCTTATATATGTCCAATAGACCTTTTAGGAGGGTGTAAGGTAGTGTCCTACATTTTATTTACTCAAAAATTTAAAAAGAACATTGCATTTGTGCTGTATGCATTTCACCAAGGCTAAGATACTTTTTTTAAATTTTTTTTTTAATTTTTGCATTTTCCTAATCTCTGGAATCAAGATGTGTCTTATAATATAGGGCATCTTTTTATTTAATGACATATGGTACAGCTATTCTGTCAAAACCCAGATTTGGGCTACAGCAGGTTTTAACTGACCAAAATTGATAATTTCAGAGGGCTTTATCTGACTAGAAATTAGATCTTTTTTTTGGTTGTTAAATACAGAAGCCATTTCTGTCTCTGGATGTAAACATCCAGGCTGCGTGGAGGAAAGGTAACCTGAAAACTGCTACATTTTTTCCCCATTTGTTTTTTGGTAAAGGGAGACTAGCTAAAATAGGAATGTTGTTGTAATGCTCTTCCTTTCCAAATGTATGTGATTCACTGTGAACAAAAGAGAATCAGGTTTCAGACTAAATTCCTCATCTTTGGGTCTGCTTGGGAGTTTATAACCAGCAGCAAGACTGTTAACCAACGTTAATGTCACTTCCTGGCTATCAGGTTAAATTTTTACAAGAGTACGGTTGCCTTCTTTTGAAGACAAATCTTTAACAATCACATTATTTACTAACCTAGGGGTTTGTTTCATGTTAGCACAATCACCTGCCAGCCATAAAATAAACTCCCAAGCTGAAAGGGCATCCTCCTTTTTGGAATCCTATCCAGTGACTGCAGTTCAAGTTCAGTGTAAAGGGAGGAGAAAGGAGGAGAGAAAGAAAGGGTGAGAATAAAACCTGTCAAACTCAACATCCTTCAAGAGCTCATACCAAAAAAGGAATCCCAATTTATTAAGACAGAGAACTGGGTTTAAAGGGACGGTCACAGTGGCTCACGCCTGTAATCCCAGCACTTTGGGAGGCCAAGGTGGGCAGATCACAAGATCAGGAGCTGGAGACCATCCTGTCCAACATGAAACCCCCTCTCTACTTAAAATACAAAAATTAGCCAGGTGTGGTGGTGCGAGCCTGTAGTCCCAGCTACTCAGGAGGCTGAGGCAGGAGAATCACTTGAACCAGCGAGTTGGAGCTTGCAGTGAGCTGAGGTGGCGCCACTGCACTCCAGCCTGGCAACAGAGCGACACTCTGTCTCAAAAAAAAAAACAAACAAAAAACCTGGGTTTATTACACAGTAATTCATAAATTAAAATGCCACACATAAGAATCTGCCTATTGATATAGTTACGTAGCATGTCCAAGGAACTTCCTCTGCATTCACCTAGGATGGAGAAATGACTTGTTTTGTATTTCTTTCATTGAAGTATCACCTTCTGCTACATTTAACCCTTGACTGCAGTGCTCTCCCACTCCCCAGGTGAACCAAACCCCACACTCATCAACCCTCTGGGACCCTCTTCACTCAGCCAAAATCCAGACATTGCTGCTGGAAAGTGATGGAGAAAATTACTCTTATGATCTTTGCTGGACAGGTAAGGAAACTGAGCCTCATAGACATCATTTTAAAACTTTCCCAAAGCAGTGTTGAACTGATACGTGAGCCTGGGTCTCTCTGACTCCTTTTCATTCTAGTTTCTGTGAGTCTTCATATTACTGAGCTTCCTACAGAGACGTAGCCATTTCCCCACCAGCATGGGGCTCACACTGTGAGGTTCTTCCAGGAATAGGGGCACATGTGCAGGAAGCTATATGTGTGCCTGGCCAAGTCCCTGGTGACCCCAGAGCTGTATCTGAGAGATGACAGATGGGAATCATGTTCTCACCAGGCAAAAGAGCCTCCACAGCCCTGCACCCTGGCCCTGTGACAGGAGTAGCCCATGGTGCCCCCACACAGGGGCAGCCCAGGTGTGGAAGCAGGCATCTCTACAGTTAGCTGTGTTTCAGAAACGAAGAGAACTCAGTGATATTCCTAAGGGAAAACCTGGGCTGGCTGTGACTGAGCACGTTACAGGAAAAACAGAGCAGAGCCCAGCGCTTCACCCAAACAACATGAAAACGGAGACAACTGATAGCATTCGGGGACAGTCCCAGACACTCCTGGCATCCTCAGATTTGCCTGGTGCCTGAGGAGTCTCTTTCTCAACTTTATCGCATTGGAGCCTTTCAAAGCAGTGTTATAAGAGTGATTGTTGAAGTCCTTTAAAGAGGGTTATCACTACATGTGTAAATTAGCTTATCTCACTTCCCAAATGCCTGCTGTCTCAAAGCCGGGCCATTCAGAAACAAAGCCGTGTCCGGTTGGGTAGTGTTTTGGAATCATTCGGAGCAGTGGAAGCTGCACATGGGATCCCAGTGGGACTCACTGGGCACAAGCTGACAAGTCAGAGGCAAGACACTGCCCAAAGAAGAGGGATAAACAAACCCAGCCAATGAGTGAGCTGCATCTTTCCCTCCCTCCCACCAGCTCCAATCAACCAGTAATTACTCCTCCGGTCACACCAGGACTTGGAGGCAAGACCACCAGTGAAGTCAGTGCCATAGGTACAGTCAGCGTACTGCACAGTTCGTTAGCTCTTCCCCTAAAATTCCTAGCAAAGAATGGCAAACAAGGCAGCCAGAAATGTAAGGTAATGAGGTAATTAATGCACTCAACCCATTTTAAGGATTTCCTACTAGGATGCGAAGGGGGCCTGGGCTCTATTCACAGTTTCCCCACAATTGCCAGATGGCCAGGGTTGTTCTGATACCCACTGAAACAGCATCACTATGCCACTCAGTGAGGCATGCAAATGGCTACACGATCACTCTTGCTAAAACCTCCAAATCAGCTCTTCTAGCTTATTCCACTATAACTTTTGCCGTTGCAATTCACTTCATCAATCCACTACAAAATCTGCCTTCTATATCCTTTGAAGGAAGAAGAAACATTTTTTCAGTTGTGGTAAAATACAAATAACCATTTCCATCATAACTTTTTTTTTTTTTTTCAAGAGACAGGGTCTTGCTCTGTCACCTAGGCTGGAGTGAGGTGGTGTGGTCATAGCTCACTGCAGCCTCAAACTCCTGGGCTCAAGCAATCCTCCCGCATCAGCCTCCTGAGTAGCTGGGACTATGGGTACATGCTATCACACCTGGATAAATTTTAAGACATTTTTTTTTTTTTTGTGGAGATGAGGTCTCACTATGTTGCCCAGGCTAGCGTTGAATTCCTGACCTCAAAGCTATCCTTCTGTCTTGGCCTCCAGAGGGGCTGAGATTACAGGTTTGAGCCACCAAGCCTGGTCCACAACCATTTTATTATTATTACTATTGTCATTATCATTATTGAGACAGGGTTTTGCTCTGTTGCACAGGCTGCAGTGCAGTGG